CTCACAACAATACTCTTTACAATTCACAAAGCCAATCCAGAACAAATATCACATTTTGATTTTACAAACCACAGCATTTAATCTTCACAATACATTTCACATGGCATTTCTCAAGCTCTTTCAGAACCCTTCATAAACCAGTTCGTAAAACAGTTCATATATATAACTTTCTCAATACCTTTCATAATTCGTTTCTCAAATCATTCTCAAATGCAAAATGGTAGTAATTGCTCGATCTTGATTTTTATGCACAAAACATGCTTATTAACTCATACAATACTCAAATCTTTATCACTTCCAAGACATGAATTTATAAATTCATAGAAGAGATAGCACCACTCACCTGGAATCTCCAAAAATCAAGCAATGACGCTCGTTCGAATCGACGATCTCGTAATCCTAATAATTAAACAAGGATCAACGTTAAAACCAACTAAAATGCTACGATAACTACGAAACGGCTAAACGACGCTTAAATGTTAATAGAACAACTCAAAGGCGCCCACAAATTGTTCATCCAAAGCGATTATCCAAACCGTCCGCAATGCGGAGCTTGAGCGCGAAACTTGGTTGCGTCATAACTTTCTCCACTAAACTCCGTTCCAAGCGAGCTTATAGTCAAAAGAAAGCTCATTTAGAGCACTACAAGAACCCCAACTTTGCCGTCCCAAAATCGGGCCTAAATCCGACGAAAATCGGCCTAAAAGCCGCTGCTCGCGCACTGTTCACCTTGTGCGGCCAACTTCGAAAATTCATATCCGGCAAACCAAAAGTGCAAATCGAGTTCCGTAAAATCTCATGTCCTCACGGCACCCTAAACTACCAATTCTATATATATTCACAGCTCAACGACTCAAAAATTGGATTTCGCCGCTCAAATAACACAACTCCGAAATTCGTCCCGGACGAACCATACTACAAAATAGCCACTCGACAAACCCCACCACTCTACAACACCATAAACCATCATTCCACACAAAATCACAGCTTAATAACTCCTCGATCGAGCCTCGCGATTCAAAATCGATATTCCTTTAAATTTGTGCCCTAATTTCCGAAATCAATTCGATTAGACGAACAATTGGCTCGAATACTTACCAGGCGTTGCGATTCATAGTTGATTCGGCTAGTTGGAGTGTCCGGGTCGGCTATGCGTGTCAATTTCGCTCTCCTCTCTTCTTTCCCTCTTTCCTTCTTCACGGTCGTGCGTCTTCTCCTGCTCTCTTCGTTTACTCTGCTGGCTTCTGCGCTTCATTTGTTGAAGCAGAAATAAATTGGCTGGGCTTGGGCTTTTAAGAGACATGGCTGGGTTTTTATGGGCCCAAATATTACAAGTCACATAGTCAATTCCTAAAAGAATCAGTTTAATGTAACATCCGCACTTGCAAAAGACCAAAGTCCCAACTACATAAGATGCTTCATGCACTCCCGTGTACGTGCGTTATATATGGGATTTAACTATGCATTCTCTGTCCATAAGCATGTTTTGGCATGTGCGACTCTTCATGCTGCGTTTGGTTGTCCGGATTCGAATTGGGATAAGATGGGATAAGGTAGGATTAGAAATCCTCCGAATATCCTCTGGATTATAAAATATTATATCATATGTTTGGTGCAATCCAAAATATAATTAAAAATATTTGAAAATCTTTGAAAATCTCATTTGTCCAATGCAATCCCCGTGATATCCAGATTTTTCCTCTTGAGCTTCATCACTAGCTTGTTAAACCCATTCTCTTCAACTCCCTCCGATTTGTCTCCTTTGCCGCCGGCTTCCCCAAATCCACCGCCATCTCCACCTCCAGGCCGTACTCGTCGCTCAACTTCACTTTGTCGGAGGCAATTCGGACGCCAGCCAATCGAGTCACCGATGGCGTCACGGAGCGACCAAGGGAGGTGCTGGGTGCGACCAATCTCATAGACGAGGTAGGAGTGGACAATGCAAAGGTGAAGGGTAGCAATGGGGTGGTGGACGCCGCCTGCGAAGCTCGAACGCCACTTAACGTCAGAGCCGATCCAAGGGTAGTGGGGGCACCAAAAATCTCGAAAATTCTTGATTATTGATCTGAAATTTATATTTGGTTTTAATGAATGGGATTGCAGACTGGTACGAGATTGTTTGGCAAGTTGGGGTCTAGATATAATGCAATTATAGTCATTCCTTGGCGGAGACAAGAAGTCGCCATTATTGCACCTATGGCGAGATAATCAATGGCAGCGAACGGTTCCTTGTTGTAATCCGTGGTGACCAATCTATCTAATAGAGGCGATATTATTTTTGTCTTTTTATGGGCGGACACGCATTGTGGAAGACGATGGCCAATTACTTCTCCTTTTTCACCTTAGTTGTCGGAACAAGATCGGCCGGCTGACGATGATGATCGGTGGCTGTCGGAGGCGACGACAACGACAACGATCGGCGGCTGTCGGAGGCGACGACGACGATCGATTGTCGTGGAGGTGGTCCTTGTGCGGTAGCCGGCAAAACCAAATGCTTTACTTCATCGTTGGAAGATTAGTGTTAAGTTATTTTTTAATTTTTTTATCCAATCCGGGTTTATCCCACCCTCTAGCCCGGATTTTTTATCCGGCATTTTATCCGAATATATCCAGTCTGAAAGACGTTGCCAAACATTGGATGGGATATTTTGTTATCCTATCCGAACTACCAAACGCTCATGTCGATCAGCACACACGGAACAGCCAAAACAAAATGACCAGCACGTAAAATACATAACAGTCCAAGGGCAGACTGAAACAGTAGGTAAACGCATGGAGCTTGGCTATGAAATTTTATCCCAAAGATGGACCCAGCAATTCAATCCAGCAGAATCTGCTAGAAAGCCAACGTCTAAGCACACTGGGTTCGCTTTCGACTCACCTGGGTACGAGCCATTTTTCGCTTCACGACAAGGTGTCTCCGCCCCCTGCAAAACGCTGGGCACGTCATAAGAAGAGCCAGCATGAGGACGAAGCCGAAGACATTGCCCGAGGGATGAATTTTAAGTACTACACTTAGATTTTGGTAATGAGCCGTGTCGATTCAAAGTAGTATAGTTAGCTGTATCATGGTCGTAGCTTTTTTATAGGGAAAATTTCAATTTGGTACCTAAAGTAAGGTCATTTTCTAAAAAATGGATCTAAAGTGGACAAAATGTCAAATAAGGACTTGAAGTGCCCAATCAGTCTCAAATAGGGACTCAAAGTGCCCAATTAGTCTCAAGTAAGGGCTTGGGTTCGCCGGCCAGTTAAATGTTCACCGGCCGGCGAGCACGTCACTGTTCCAGCAATCGGAACAGAGGCAATTTCGTCTTTTACTCTTTTCCTTTTCTTCTTCTTTTTATTTTCTCTTTTCCGGCCTTCCTCAGGCGGAGGCCGCCCTCGCTGACGTCGGGCGAGGGCTGCCCAGCCCAGGCGAGGGCCAACCCTGGGTTTCCCTCGCCGGCGTCGGATGAGGGAAACCTAGGGTCGGCCCTTGCCAGCGTCGGGCGAGGGTGGCCCTCGCCTGGGCTGGGCGGGCGAGGGCGACTCTCGCCCGCCTAGCCCAGGCAAGGGTAGCCCTCGCACGACGTCAGCGAGGGCGGCCTCCACCTGAGGAGGGCCGGAAAAGAGAAAAGAAGAAGAAGAAGAAAAGGAAAAGAAAAAGAAAAAAAAGAGAGTAAAAGATGAAATTGCCCCTGTTCCGATTGCCGGAACAGTGACGTGCTCATCGGCCGGTGAGCATTTGACCGGCTGGCGAACCCAGGCCCTTACTTGAGACTAATTGAGCACTTCGGGCTCCTATTTGAGACTGATTGAGCACTTCATGCCCTTATTTGACACTTTAGACCCCTTTTTGAGAAAATGACCTCACTTTGAGTACCAAATTGAAATTTTTCCTTTTTTATATATTTCTTTTATACATAGACGTTATAGTTGCTCTTCATGCTTCAAACCCGATTCACTCTTAGAGGAGCTACACTGGCTAGTGCTTACCAAGTCACCGGCTCGGATGTACATGTATATGTTTCTTACTACTGTGAAATGAAATTTTTAGACTGTTTGAGTTTCTCTATTCTTATCAGAATCCCAAACATACGATCTTTGGGATTCTCCCTTCCGCAATTGTCCTTCTCGACAAAGGGTTTTACACATCCGTGAACAGGAGGAAAGGGAGGGATGCGATGTACTAGATTTCCGGACTCCTTCCAGATGCCAAGAGTATCACCCGTTTCAGAGCGGTAGGAATGCTGCTTACGTTCATTCTGCACATGCGACGTCTTGTGGGCTAGTTCTAGCCAAACGGCGAAGTCTTGCATGCTTTTATTGAAACGACTTGTTTTGTCTTCCTCTTTATTGTTTCTTGTCAAAGCTTTCATCTTAACGGTGGCTCACCTTTTATTCACAACCGGTTCACTGCTCATTTCTTGCATTGCGACTGCTTGGTTGGCGGCAATGAGGAGTTCCTTTGCCTGTTCTATTTCATGAATTCTCTGGTCGATTTTTCTCTGGGTGTGTGGGAAATCTGTTAGGTTATTTTGGGTGCTAGTCTGGGAGCCATCGCCAGTTGAATCGCTAAGTTGTTCGAGGGTGACACAAACCAACCAAACCTCCGTCAAAAGTCAGTATTCGTCATCAGGAATTGCTCAACATGAGATTGTTGGATGTACCTCGTTACTCGAAGAATGAAGAAACATTTTCTCGGATTTTCAAAACTGATTCAACTTCTAAGTTGTCCTATGACCCCCTTCCAACAAAGAAGGAATTATGGACTAGTTACTTGGTCCTTGACACCTCGCATAAGTACTAGCAGCTCTGTGCTTAATCATTCGATCTTATGCAGGAGAAAGGCAGAGGGTATCTGTCGGAGCAGTATCCTATTCTATTCTCTAAGCAAAAGCTGCTTGCAAGAAAACGTGTACGATCAACTTACATACGCAATTCTTTTTACTCTTGGAATGAACCCTGGACCAAATATTGCCGAAAGAGGAATGTTCTGAAGTGGAAGAGGGACAAACGAATTTCTAAAATAGAAGTTTAGAGTTGCTTTTTGTCACTAAATTGCGAGGATAAAGAAACAATATTTCACAAGGAGCTGATGAACTTGGCCAGTTTCTGTGACACTGACTGCTGGGATTCGTCCAACCATTCTTCATTATCATCATAATCATCATCATTCTCAAAAACCAGATATATCCCACGCTTTTTCAGTGAGACCCCAGGAAAGCAGGGCGGGTCTCGGAGCACTATATCTATCCCGTCTCCTTCTTTTAACATCTGAACCATTGACTTGAATTCTGGAAATCTAATCAAGTAAAGCTGGTCTTCACTTGTGTCGGGGACCCCCATCAGGTTTAATACCGTGGTATGTATTGGATCTTCAATCCTGAGAAGCCTTCCTTTAATGTCCACGATTGCTGGTAGTGGAATGTTTCCCCGGTTTACACTGTCCAGAGAGACAACAACAGCGAAAATTATTCCTCTGATCTCGCGGTTCTTCGGTGCAGCAAAATGAGAAACTTCCTGAGAAAACCATCGGGGAATCTCACTCCCAGGGACACACAAGTTGTACAAATGCTTTAAAGCAACCTGCATTTTCCATTAAAAACACATTTAAGGTCAAACTTCCTGCATTCATGATTGAAGATATTAAACAAAGGGGAAAATAACTGATTTTCATCAATCTTTTAGTTACAGTCGAATAGTTTTCTCAAAGTGGGAGCTATGAGTTATCTTTTTACCTTTTCAATTCTTTTCTTCACTGCTGGGAAGCATGCCTTGCAACCACCCAAGAATAAACGTCTTAGAGACTTCAATACCTGGAGACCGGGGATGTCAACTAAATTGCTGCAATTAGTAACATTCAGCTCCTCTAAATCCTCCACTTTTGTCAAGTCATATATACTCTCCAATGCAGTACAGTTCGCCATATTCAACTCACGCAAGGTCGACGGAAGTGGAGGCAGATATGTGAGCTTGTTACAATGAGACAAGTTGAGTTTTTTCAGAAGCACAAGGCCGCTCAGACTGGATGGCAAGCTAGAAAAGTCGTTACGACCCAAATTCAAATCCTCCAAGGACGACAACCTTTCAAAATTATTGGAGATGCTTCCCGAAAATCCCCAAGCGTGAGCATCCATCTCTTTCAATGAACATAAATTTGCAAAGGACTCTGGAAGAACAATATGTTTTAGGGCATTGGATTGATTGGGTTCTGCCAGTTCTGGATTGTCTTCCACATTTAGAGGCTGTCCTCTATTCAGCTCTTTTCTCATTTTCAATGATGTCAGGCTTGTGAGCATCCCAAATTCCTGCGGTAATTCTGTGACACAAGTTCCTGGCATTACTAAGTAAACCAGACTTTTCAACTTCCCAAGTGAAGTAGGTAGTTGCCGGAGTTGCGCGCATTGACTTAGTCTTAAGGTGCGAAGCCTTTCAAGCATTCCTATGGACTCTGGCAGTGTTGTTATCATGGTGTTATCCAAGAACAGATCGGTGAGGCTCGACATATTTCCTATGGACTCTGGTAATGTTTTAAGCAAATGACAATATCTCATGTCAAGTTTTTCGAGCATGTTCAAGGCCCCAACCTGACTAGGAACTTCTTCAATTGCTGTCCCCACTAAATCTAACCAAACCAAAGATGATAAGCCACCAAGAGGAGCATATACTTGAATTGCCCATGTAAAAGTGCAAGAAAAGAGTCAAGAAGCAAGCAGTAGAAGCAATTGGTATCTGTATGGATGCAAAGGCCAAGCTGACAGATGGAATTTAAGGAGCATAATTCAGTTTTTTTTTTCCGGTGAGTAAACTTATTGGATTTCTTGAAGCCATTCAAAGAAGGAAGACAGGATAAGAAGCGCACCGTGTCAAAGGGTTTGTCGCATTCTGTACCTATTCTACAAACAGTAATAAACCAGGAAAAAGTCTTAAGTTCAGCCCAAACAATATAACGTTTTAATCGATTATCCACGAATCTTGTATAGAAGGTACTTTGGTATTCATTATTACAAGGCCAGATGTCGACTCCAGTGCCTACATACTCTCATCACATCAAAATAGTTGACTGCTACTAAGGTCTAGGCAGCACGGAGAAAAGAATGTAGAATCATCTACATGTTATGAGATTTTTGTATAGTATACCTGTTTCTTAGAATGTCTCTGCTTCTGCATACTAGTGATTTTGCTTTCCGAGAGGTCGAGGACTCCAAGATCCTGGGGGCAACTGTCGAAAGGAAATGTCTTCATAGGGCACCCTTTCCACCGAAGCCACTTCAATTCTGCTGGTATATGCTGGAAACCTCCGTCCAGTGCCACATAATTAATTTGAAGCAGCCTAAGGTCGACCATTGGTGTAAAACAAGTAGTTTGCAGAGTCACCACCTTCTCATTGTCTTGCTTCCCGGGAAACCATGTCTTGCACATTTCCCTGAAGTATGCAAATGCCGACTGAAAAGAGCGGTGGATCATGAAGTTATGTCTTAATCCAGCCGTAGTGCTTATCTCCTCCCTTTTTCCCATGTCCAATGCAATTCCCTGAATATTTCTTGTTCCCTGTGAGCATTCAACATAAAGGAATTTCAGACATGAAATCAAATCAAGTTCACAAAAAGGGAAGGCCGAAATGCATATATTAATTTGTGAATAAGGAGCGACGCAAGTACCTGATAGATATAAAAGCTTAAAAACCTCATCTTGTGAGAAATTAGAAGAAAATTTTTGTCGCTGCCAACCTCTCGACTCAAATTACTTGTAGCGTGTTTGTTGGACAAGTAACATACGTATGAGAAAAAACAAGTATCGAACTGAGGCTGCATCAGTTATCAATCTCCTTCAAGAAGATTTTTGGATCAGCCACAATAGAAGTTTGTGACAGATAAATGCTCCTAAGGATTAAGCAATTTTTTTTTTTTGGTAAAGAAGGATTAAGCAATTCATTTGTACAAGATTGGAAAACGGTCTTCCCTACCTTCTTGTTCTTCAGAACCGTGAGGATTTCATTGCGGTCCCATAATCTGCTGCGCATACTAGGGCGTTCATAGTTTTCTCTCTGAACGATCTCTCTTCCCATGTCTCTTATTTGGTCATGCATCCACAAGATGCCATCCTCAATGATTTTAACGAGGGATTTCGCCGTTAGGACCTTGATTGTTATCTCGGGATTTAGACCACAACCCCTCAATACGTATACAGCATCTTCTCTTGTTATCTTCATCTGAACGAAGAAGCATGCAATATCGAGGAAAACACACTTCTCTTGGTCATCGAGCGCATTAAAGCTTATCGCCAGAACATCTTGCAAATGCCCAGGTCGAATCCGACTCAGCTTCTGCAATGCATCTTGCCATTCCTCTGCCCTCCTCTTGTCATACAAGAAGGATCCAAATACTTCCAGAGCCAGCGGGAGTCCCCCCGTGAGAGACACAATTTGTTCTGCCACGCCCTTCAAATTTTTATTCGGTTGGTCCCTCCCAAAGGCATGGCAACTGAATAGTTGAAGTGCCTCGGGGAAAATCAACTCCTTCACCTCATAAAACTCATTCACTATGCTCTCCGGGAGGACCTCTTTGTCTCGTGTGGTCACGATGATTTGAGTTCCATCGTAAAACCAGTCTCTACTACCGGCCAGTGCCTTAAGTTGCCTTATATCGTTCACATCATCAAGCACAATGAGTACCGGTTCCTCGTACACTAGCTGTTTGATCTCATTGATGCCAGAGCTAATGTCTTCGATTCGCCGTCCCGACTCTTTACTTGAGGAAAGATCACCGATCAGTTTCGCTTGGAGAGATTCTAAGCCACCTTCCACCTGTGAAGCCTCTCTTATCTTCGGAACAAAGCTGCGACGTTGGAAGCGAACCACGAGCTTATTGTAAAGAGCCTTGGCGAGGGTTGTCTTGCCAACTCCTCCCATTCCATGGAACCCCAAGATCAGGACACCATTCGAATTAACGTCCATAATCCTCTTCAGCTCTTCAAAGCGACGATCAAGTCCAATGGGATACTTGGCCACTCCCAAGGGTGTGTTCTTCAACTTAGTCAAGATTCTCTTCACTAAAGATTGGATTAGCTCCGGTTCATCCCTGCCATAAATGTGATCACAATGTAAGTGGGGTCGAGGATTAGCTCCGGTTCATCCCTGTCATAAATGTGATCACATGTTTCTTTCTTGGCAGAATACAGAGTGAATTTCTCAGCAGCGGGAGGTGCAGTGTTCAGCGCGAGAAAAGCGAAGAAGTCAATGGAAGTCGCGAGCTCGAATAATGAGCTCAAGGTGAAGGCTAAAGAGACAGAGGAGTACTTTCGATGAATACGTTAGATTGCATGTTCCTCAGCACAACATGCGCCTATGCTGCTCTATTTGTCTGTATCGGAGTTCTTTTTTTTTTGGTCTATGACCTTCCGGTATCCGGGGTATCCCCGACTAAATAATTTTCCGGAAGCGAGCACTGTCGGACCCAAAAGGGGGTGGCTCTCCCAGCGCCGTTTGCTCCATACACAAGGCTCGAACTCGAGACCTTGCTTAAGGGAACCCAGGCTCCTTACCACCTGGGCCAACGGACGTTGGTATATCGGAGTTCTTTAAACCACCATGTCCAACGCACTATTTCCCACGCCCCCCCTCATAAAGCGCAACTGTAAAGCAAGGTACCCTTTGGCAGCTTGTTTTACAAAGCAACTTCTTTGTTTTACTCTTTCATCGTACGTCCCTTTTCAGAACTTTTACGTCGAGTTTGGATCCTCTCTTTGAACACACACAAGAGACTACTCGGAGTCGCCCTTTCCGGAGCACCCGATAAAGGACGGGGGCTTTGAAATTCATTACGGATTTTTTTACATAGATCGACCTAATTCATGATACATTACCCAATAAGGCTCTCAGCAATCAACGCCTTGATTTTTCAGTTTTGTGATACGACGATATCCGGCAAGTGTTTGAAGGATGCTCGTTAGCAAAACAGCAGAGTGTTTTCATAACACTTGTGAGCTTGTTTGCTAACTACATCAACCTTTAATGACGATTCAATTTAAAGAGAGAAAACCTTCCTGACCCCAAATTTTTCCAACGTCTTTTTTTCTGCCTTTCCTTTTTAATTCAATTTATTGTCCGTTACTGAAAATTAATCTCTCGAAATCATTTTGGTAAAGAGTTGTTAACGCCAATTGTTAGTTCACAACAACTGCAGCACAGTTTCTGATCAGAAGCAACCGATCGAAGATCGAAGAAGAAGGTTTATGTTCAATCAACTGCTGCTTCTAAACCGTAATCAACATGAGCTTTCAGAGTAGGTAAGATGGAGACGATCGCGCGGTTATAATTACTCACCTGACCTTCGAATCCCAGCCGGAGATATTACCAGCCTTCTCCATGGCGGTCCTCCACCGGTTGACCACCTCCGCCCCGTACCTCTCCTCGTGCTTCCGAAACCCCTGCTCGAACGGGCCTGCCTGCCTCCGCACGTGCCAGGGTTCCACCTTGTAGAACACCGGGAGCAACAGCTTCCGGCGCTCGACGATCCGCGCGAGCTCCTCCAGGCACCACCTCGAGGTGGCGTAGTTCTCGGAGATGATGGCCACGGCGGCCGCGGAGTCGTCGATCGCATCCAGGAGGCTCGAGTCTATCTCCTCCCCTCCCTCGAGGCCTTCTTCGTCGCGGAAGGTGCGGACGCCGTTGAGCACGAGCTCGTGGTAGAGGCGCTCGGTGATGCCGTGGCGGGTGTCGACGCCGCGGAAGCTGAGGAAGACGTCGTAGCGGTAGCGAGAGGAGGACAGAGCGTCGTCCTCTTCGGGATCGTCCATCACCACCGTCGTTGTTTTCGCTTCGCGAGGTCTCTTGACGGAGTAGGTGATTGCAGAGGCTACTGGCCAGCTTTAGTATCAGTCTCAACCGCTTCGTGCGATGACCAAGGAGCAATGAGCACTACTGACGGGTTCCTGTTCCCATTGGTGCGTATCGTGGCGAGCAAAGCGATTTCTACGGTGCACGGATGCTACTTCTAAATTTCTTACGGGTGGTTCTACCTTGAACCCGAAACCTATTTTCAGATATAAGTTTCTTATTTTTTAAAATCTGAAATTTACCCATCAAAATCTGGAACCTACCCTATCACGGATTTTAGGATCTAACATGATCTTTTTTTTTAATTTCATTTTTAGTTAAATAAAACGAAAATGAACGTAAAAATACTGAACAAGCTTGTCATTTACCAAAGAGAATACAAAATATTAGTTTTTCCTGATGATAAGTCACTGCGTTAATCGATACGAGGGGTGAGCGGTTCCATGTTCCGTGTAGTTCCACTCGGAACATACCCATGAGAATAGGTTCCTCGTCTTTTGGAATCTAGAACCTACTTTATCACAGGTTCTAGGGTCTATTTCAAAGTCTACCCAGGTTTCACCTATATTATTAATTGAACAATTACAGTGAATTATCACCTTTAATGACCACCGCTTGCTACTATAATCTCTTGACCATAACTTATATTTAGACACACGAAAAATATAAAACATTAACAAGTCATAAAATGAAAACTCAGACTAGTGGTTCCAGATTATACACTCATCATCTAATGTCATGAAACATCGCAGGATCACACGAACACATAAACCTAGAAAAAACAAAAAAAAAACTTATTTAGATTTTAGGTT